AGGGCCCAGATTGTGCAGTTGCAAACTTCTCCCTTGGACCTGATGTTGTCTGGGTACCTGCATACAAACAAGTGTGTGTGCTGACCAGCGGCCTGGGCTAGGTACCTTTGGACTTTGACTGTAGGGATCCCGACAGTTGACCAAGTCAACTGCTGCACGTCCAGGCCCTGAGTCCTCGTGTGGGGTCTTTTGGCCCTGTTTCGGCCTGGGCTGAGGGCGGCCGAGTTGGCCCTCAATTTTCCACGAGACATATGGCATGGGTTATTGCTTACATATATATACATATATATATCGTCACATGAATATCAGAGTGCAAACGCGAAAAAAAAACAGAAGAAAACAAGAAAAAAATAATTCGTTTTTTTATCTTCTTTCTTACAACTCCCCTTGTTCAGAACCTCTTGCATACAAGGCCGCCCACGTGGATGTAGTTGAGCGGCGGCTGCCCCCACCCCCGTGTGTCATATCGACCCACTTGCACACAGCCAAAGGGCAAAGAGGCAAAGAAAAGAGGCAGGGAACAGCCAAATACAACAAAATAGGGGGCAACAAGCAACAACACCAAAAACGAATCCTAAATGACCAGTCCCACATGCAAGTGCCGCCCCTCCTTCATTGGCCAAACGACGGGACAAGACCACCCAGGACAAAACTCTTGTCTGCAAAAAAAAGAAATCCAAGATTACATATCTATCTATATATCGTCAAATAGATATGTATATATATATCGTCAAACAGAGCTGCCTGGTAAACCGTACGCAGAGAGGGAGTAGAGGACAACAAACAAGGGCTTGTGACAAACTATTTCATCGGAATTTCACGGACTCATCACGAGGCTGATATATACTGTCAAATAGAACTGCTTGGTAAACCGTAGGCAGAGAGGCAGAAGAGGACCACAAACGAGGGGCCGTGACAAACTGTTTTGTTTGAGTTTCACCAACTCATCAAGAGGTTGAATGTATATACTATATGTATATCGTCATATATATACATGTACATCATACTTGCGGCGCACTGGGGCGGTGCGCGATGCGGTGCGGTGTGCCCTGCGGAATGCGCGCGGTGACACTGCGCGCGCACGCAGCGCATGGAGACGCGCTACTGTGCAAGGGTGCGCACTGTGCGCCATGCCTTTTTTCGGCTTGTGTGTGCGTGTGTGTGTGTGTGTGTGTGTGTGTGTGTGTGTGTGTGAGAGAGAGA